ACATGCCGCTTTACACGCCATTTATTCCCCACATGCCGTTGTAAACGCCATTTATTGCCCACATGCCGCTTTACACGCCATTTATTCCCCACATTCCGTTTTAAACGCCACTTGTTGTCCACATGCCGCTTTACACGCCATTTATTCCCCATATGCCGTTTTAAACGCCACTTGTTGTCCACATGCCGTTTTAAACACCATTTGTTGTCCACATGCCGCTTTACACGCCATTTATTCCCCACATGCCGTTGTAAACGCCATTTATTGCCCACATGCCGCTTTACACGCCATTTATTCCCCACATTCCGTTTTAAACGCCACTTGTTGTCCACATGCCGCTTTACACGTCATTTATTCCCCACATGCCGTTTTAAACGCCACTTGTTGTCCACATGCCGTTTTAAACGCCATTTGTTGTGTACATGCCACTAATCAGCTGTGGCAGGTGCCGGTGCCACAAAAGGAGCCTGCCCTTACTGCCAATTATGCTGAGATTAATCAATGTTCACAGGACACCCACCTCCAGAACTAAGTATACGTAATGTTAAAGGTTCATTATATTTGGTAATCAATTGCAGCTTCTTGTATATTAAACAAGGATAGGTGACATCCACTCATTCAAATTTATAGTTTTAAGAATTGTTCTATTGAAATCCAACAAGGACCACACCTGTCTTTAGTTGTCCATTGCAGACCAGATAATTTATGACATCTGGTGTCAATGCATCCTTTGTAATATAACAGTTTTTGATGATCTTGCACAATTGTGTAATGAATTTGCTCCAGGATATGTACGCAAAGTAAAATACTGTAATTAAACTCACTATGTTGACAGCTCGTGATTCCTTAATTGCTTGCCTATACTCGAAGCAAAAACAGTCACGGGAGATTTATGAGGGAGCTATAATTACTGCTAATACGCCTCAGGAAATAAAGTGATATTTGGTGGAGCGATAAATTTGACTTACTCTAAATTACAGTCATTGGACAAAACATAAAGTAAAAATTGGATATGTTTTGATAAGCTGTATATTTATGTAGGATGGTGTAACTGGCACGAGAGTCGATGCCTGAGCCTGAATGAAAATACAGAATGGAAGGAATTTCCTGAAATGAAATTCAATCTCTGTCACTTACTGCAGTGAATGCTGTGGCGGACTTTTCAACAGCTGGTAGGAAAGACGGTAGTTGCATGTTAAAATGACTGAAAATAGCAATTTGACATGAACCATTGTATATATACATTATTTTACAGAATGACAGGATATACTATTGGTTTTGCCTTCTCCATACTCTTCAATTCAGAATTATTTTATTGGCTTGCATTCCTAGAGTGTGAATTCCTGCTACTTAAAATGGAAATAAATGGTCATAATCTACATATCTATAATTGCTCTATCCCTTCTCAGTATACTTCTTTCTGCAAAACTATACCGTGACATGATGCTAAAAAGTCTATACATGGATAGCTTTGCTTGCATGACAAATGCCATACTAATCTGTAAAAATTCACTGATTAGTATGTGTAACATACAAGGAAGAGTATCAGATGGCCCAAATGTACATGCTTAGATAATCAACAAGCAACAGCACAACAGCACAAAGTTCATGTGAAGCCTACCTCAACATTGTGTGCTTGTTTCACAGCTCTGGTAATTTCCTGGAAAAGATATAAAACATGGATAATTAGACCAGATATATGGATAAATGGATCCTCAGCAATGTGTTAGTAGTAGCACAAACCATTTAAATAATGTATACTGCTGTGTTTTAGTTTTAGGCATCTCCTGCAGCCAAAAAAACAAAAAAAACATGACATGAGGTCTCAGCTGGCTTATGCAAACTCGCTGCAGAGAGAGACATAACTTAACCTCTCAACAGGTACCTCAGTGGCCTTCTGGGAAGTCTGTGCCAGAAACAGTAAAAATAAAAATAATAAAAATATACTGAAAAATTCAGGAGGGTTGCTGGGTTGCACAGAATGGTATACATGGGATATTTTCTTTGGAAACTGAAACTCCTGGCATAAGATCTGCTTGTAGCCTATATAAAGTTATTGGTTTGTATCATACAGTAGCTCACGTGGATATAGTCCCTACTTGTGTGTGCATCATTATTCCATATAATTGTGGTTTTATTGCCTGTATGCCTTCCCACTATCCAAGTACAAAACTCCCCTCTGCTGTTTGTAAGCGGTTCCATTGTTTTGGCTTCCTGAAGACAGCAGAGAACAATCCATCAAGACTGCCAAGCAATACTTTATTGGAAGTCACTAGTTCAAAACTTTGATAACAATACAGTTATTATGATACACACATCCATGCTCTGTGGATTAGAAGATAAGTTTTTCGTCTTGCCACAAGATGGCGGTGTTGAGGAGGCGTGATAATACTGTTGCTATGGCGATGACGCTGTTTTCTACGGTTTGGTTCAAATGCAAACCTTTACTTAATATATGTCCAAAATATTTGGAGAATATTAATTTTTATTTACTCTACATACCAATCTGAGTTAGCAGGGTTTTTTTTTCCTGTGATACTTATCCAGTGATCACGAATCGATCAAATACTGGGCTCCCATAATGCACCGCTTTATTTTGTCTCGTATCTCGGGGAGATGATCTGACACAGCCCTCCGCTCCCTGCCGAAGTGAAGCCCTCAGCATCCTTCCCTGACAGACATGACGCTCTGGAAAACATGCCCTTAGCCGCCCGGGCTCCATTTGCTTTATGCACAATTTAATCAGGACCTTGGAGAAACCAGACCATTCTATTTTTAGCCCGAAGGTAAGTCCCGGAGGTGGCGTTAATAACTGCTGCAACCTTTTGCTATGCATGCTAACTGTAAGCTAGCTCATCTGTCCATCGATCCTCTTTTTGTAAATGTTCACCAAGGACATCCAAACAAGATGTATTTATCATGCTGTTATAATCTGCTGTCTGGTTGTGTTGGCCCGACTGTAGTTAAATATAACTGTGAGCAGTCAATATAATGTGCCTGTTTGTTAGTGTTCTCACTTTCTGTTAAAATGGGCAGACACTTTGTATAAGAATGTTGGAACTGGATTAGCCTATAGCTGCATATAATATGTATATTACTAACGCCAAGGTTACATGTCTGAGTGCGTTGTAGTTAAGTGATGTTTGTTTTGTGTGGGACAGCTCCTCTCTTGGCGATTTTACAATTTAATGTAACAACTACAAGGACAGAGTCCAGAAGCTGTTCCAGGGCTGCACGGTGCTAACTACGAGGCATAGATCATTTTATTTTTCTGCGGGAGAAGAATGGGGGATTGTCTGAGCACGATGTCCTTGAACAAGTTTATTCCGTCATGTAAAGTGATGAGGCTGACCTGAGAGCAGCTGTGGTTCGGCTGCTGTCCGCAATGCAGGTGCTGAAATCTACAGAGCGTCAAGACCCGAGCTTTCCCCCAATAAACACCAAACCATTACCACTATGCACCATATGCTCTGCATACGTTTGTCCTGGTGCCTGTGTGTGACGATGCATGCGGAGAACTCTTGTTTTCTCCCCCTCCTGAGCAAAACACTTTTTTCTAATAACGGCACCATACAACTGCTCTTACTGTTATAAGAGTAGTCGACTTCCTTTTAGAGTGGGGCTAATTCTTCAGATTATTGAAGATGTATGAGAAATTATAACCGTACAGAATAAAGACTGTCCTGAAGCACCAATCACTCTTAATTGAGAATTAAGTCACTCTTTAATTCTGTGTATGGGCCACTTACTTTTTGTAAAGCACGTTGGCATTTTATCATTTTAAAGCACAGATAAATGTAGACCATGAGTACTTACCTTGACATTATATGAGCAGATAATGATGCAGGCTAACGCCATATGTGCTGAGGATGACATGCTCTTGAGAATGGCTGAGGTCAGAACTTTGAAAATGGAAAAGCATCTAGAGCTATTCTGGGAATGGGCTGAGATGAGAGCATGGCTCATGGTGCAGGGTTTATCGGAAGGACTCCACATTAGTCATCCATATTTAATAGATAGAAGTTATGACACTCTACTGAAATTGGGAACGTTTTTATGTTGATAATTTTCTTTCTGCTCATAGATTTGCATATGCTCCAAATCAGACGAAAAAGGAAGTTGCCCACTGAAGTATTGTGGAATATATTATTTATGTTGGTGAGCTGGTGATGTAAGAGTGCGAAGCCCTGTGATGTTTTATGGAAGCACATTTGTATATGGAGCAAAATTCTTATCTGGGAAAAAGACTAATCCGTCTCCTTTTGAATTAAAAACAAGATGTCAATTTGAGCTGGTAGAGAAAAAGTGCTCTTTCAACTGTGGGTTATTGCATTCTCATGTGTGACTTTAGAAGCCGCGACATGTCACATGAACAGGGCCGTAGGGAGGTGGTCTGATGCAGGGGAAGGAGTACAGCATTAGGCCACACCCAGTCACTTTGTGTCTAGAAAGATGACCTCAAATCAATAACAGGCCATAACATTGTTGGTGTCCAGTCCAGATGCTCTTCAAAGCATTATGTCAGTCATGCGATTGTTTGACCTGGCAATCAAGGTTATCATCCTATTAATGTCTTCAATGTATTCAATCTTTTGTGGATGAGGCTTGTTTATGAACCATGTTTGGTTTTTTTTAATAAGAGGTTCAACGTGTAGAGCAGTTGGAATAATCCAAACTACTAGAAAAAAAGCAAGAACCATTAAAAAAGATAAACAAATGGAACCCATTTTAAATATAGAGCCATTCTTGACAAACAGGTCTGGTAATTAAGCATCCTTTTTGTGTAGCTCTAAGTTAGTTGCAGTCTATGGTTAATTATTTATTTAAAACCATAAAAAAATAATTTTGAAAATCATCTTCTCAGTTGCATTTTGGCTTATGCAGGTTTGAAAAGAGGTTGGTTATTGACAGAGACATAATACATTTTTATTGTTCTCTGCATCTGTTGTCTCCAGTGTCTTTAAGTAGCTCGACTGCTTGTTGGTGAAGCAGATTCAGCGATGGCGTCTGCAAACGTTACTCTGGAAAATCAGCTGCACAGTGCACAGAAAAACCTGCTCTTCCTCCAGCAGGACCACGCCAACACGTTGAAGGGACTGCACGCCGAGATACGCAGGCTACAGCAGCAGTGCACTGGTATGTGCATGTGTGTGTGTGTGTGTATTTAGCGACGCATGTAACCATCATGTGACTCCTCAGTCGACTAGTCAATGATCATAGCTGTAGTTTATTTATAAGATTGATGTATATGGCAACTGAAGGCTTTTAGATTGTAATGTATGAAGAGAGTAAGAAGTACTTATTCTCATTGGTACATACAGGGAGTTTTGTAAACAATGGCATTGAAAACATCAAAATATCATTAGCAGGTTTAGTATCAACCTGCTCTTGGGTTACAGATTAGCCTTGTCAAAAAGTGTTTTGAAAAAATGATATACAAAGATTGTTTTATTTGAAACTCTCGCTTCACTACACCAACAATATGTCTGTAAGTTCAGACTTGGATTTCTCTGTTGTGATATGAGTGATTAAGATAAACATTGAATTCTTCTATTCTCTGACATTTTGTTGAAAGACAGAGGAACCATCTTTTTCCCTCCCTTCCTTGTTGCTGAACTGCAAAACATGCATTGATTATTCCACCAGTAAAGATACACTTAGCTGTAATGTGAACCATGTGATAATGCTCACAGAGCAAGTGGTTTTTCAGATGTGAGATCTAGTATCCTTGTCTAACCTGCTGCTAATTCCGCCGCTGAACTCTGTAATCTTGTTAAATCCATAGTTCTCAGAATGGGAAAGTGACTAACTGGTGTATTGTGGGTGGTTCTGTCCATGTCCTGTGAACTGTGACCTGCAGAGAGCTCAAAGCCTCCTCTCTGTCCACAGACCTGACATATGAGCTGACTGTGAAGACTGGTGATCCCTCAGGTAACTCCCTCTACATCACACTGCACTATGGTCAGTTTCCCCAGTTAAAGTCTGTACCAGAGCTGTGGGTGAAAAAACTGGAAATATATTTGAACCTGGACAGTGGTCAATATGTATTCTGTTTGCCCTGTGTAAGGTCTTGTATGCATTTATATAGGACTTATCATCACACTCAAAGGTTTTCATATTAAATTAAATTGTATATGTACATTTTTCCTGTGTGAGATCAAGTCTATCTTATCTTACCTTATTAATTACAAACATGACTGTGTGCCAACAAAATGGATAAAAAATTAGGAGCTTTTAAAGTAAAAATATATATGTTATACTAGTTCCATTGGCCACCCACCTTTTATATACTTAGGTTTTAAAATTATTTCAAGCTCATAATAACTTTGTCATTTTAACTATTTTGTGTTTTTACAGCGTTTTGGCTATTGTTTTTGGGGTTAGCTTTTATAAATTAGAATATTTATAAGTCAATATAGGATAATAAATGCATTTATTTGACAAAGGAACAAATTGGTCTGGTCACTGTCAGTATTATGCAAACCTGAATTTTTGCTGTTTATCAATCCGGATTCTTCTACACATTCTAATAATATGCACAAGCCAGTACTTTCCACAGCATGTTTTGATTTCTGAAGGCCAAGCTGTGGCAAATGCTGATTGGAGGACTCCATTGCTCCGCTGTATATTATCACTTGCATTCTGTATCATCGTTGTTCGTGTTCGTGCTGTCTCTACCAAACGACAATAAAACATGTCTTCTGTCTGAATTAAAGACACGATACCAGACTTTGTCATCTTCTTCAGCTCTCTCAGAAAATCCACATATTGCATCTCTGAATAAAGCAAAAGCTCAAGATACACTCTGGGATGTGTGGAAAGAGGTGAGGAGAGTGACACCGAAGCATTACGCTGTTGTCAATCACAGAAGCATTTCCCTTCGCCGGTTTCTATGGTCCGGCTATGCTCTATGTCCTGACATTGGACCAATCCTGGGAATGTCCAGTCAGAGCTAGTCATTTATTTACTGCCTTTTGTGTGAGCAGGAAGCATGTGGAATGTAGAGAGCAGTTTTGTAGGAATCGGCTGGATAAGCAGACAGCCGTCCTGTTAACGTCTCCTGTTTAGCTGCACTATCATGTTATTCTGAGATTGGAGTGCAGGAAATTAGATTATCGGTCGCAGTACTAATGCACAGCCTGCTTTGACTTGCAGAGGTAAGCTGTTCTAGCCATGGTTAACATCTAAAATGCCCCTTTACTGGGCTCCACCCTTCAGTAGATACAGCGGTAGTGTTTTTTTCTTTAGACGTGTGCTCTGAGATGGCGTGGGTGTGGTGTTGTGTAGGTCAAAACTATAAGTGAAATATGAGACAGAAGCTCTTCCAACCACAAATGTGTCCCAATAGGATCATAGTGTCTCAGCCTGAAAGACCGTCCCGTCTCGTCTGCGCCTGATTCACTAATTATTATTCTAGTCCTGGTCCAGGCCTCCGGGTGTGTACTGCCCATTTGTCTCCTATTTATATCTCGACTGGGATTGATATTAATGTTTTTTGTCATAAGTGTTATGCCAACAGTGCATTTTGATCAGCCTAAAATGCATGAGCAATGGGGCAGTAAAGTGTGACATAATTTCTCCCTTCTGGGTTCAGTGCTGAGATCAGTAACCATTAACATTGCCTGCATCTGTTCTTTCCAAACACTATTTACATTTTTTAAATCATTCCATCTACCCTCTGGTTAGTCCTCACGTCACATAGTGGCAAGCACTGCTTTAATTCAGTGGTTCTCAACGGGTGGGACTCGGGACCCAAAAGTGGGAAAATGTTGTATGCAATTTGTTCTAGATTGTGTAACAGTGCATTCTAGAAAAAAAAGTCCCTATCAAGAGTAAGTAATATGATGAAATGTATGATTTTAAAGTATGTACAGTTGAAAGTTGTAATGCTAGAATTGAAATCTTAAAATTGGTTACGCACAACTTAAAGACAAAATTTACTTATTTTATTGGCAACAGTGGCTCGGTTGATAGAACATTGGCCTTTGAGCCTGAAGGTCGTAGGTTTGAGCCCGCCACGAGACCTTCTCCATCAATCTCTCAGATGTCTGCTGTTGTTGTGTCCTTGGGCAAGACACTGAAGCCCCTGCTGAAATATCAAGGATATGCTGTCACTGACAGAGCAGCCATCCTCCTGTGGACTCACCACCTGCAGGAAGATCAGTGATTTATTCTGGTTGCGGCTTGACATTTCATATGGATAGTGGGTCCTGACACAGTTCCAAATGAGAGCCACTGAAATTTAGTCGACCAAGCAAAACTTTCTATGCATGTTAAATTAGCGTTGGCTCGAACCAAACGTATTTTTTTAGTATGAATGAAGTGATCTGGTATATCCTGTGTCCTTGAGCAGACAGTGGGGAGGTCCGGTGCAAAGAGCTGCAGAGGAGGTGTGAGGAGCTGGAGGCCGAGCTGAAGAAGAAGGAGGAGGAGAACACTGAGCTGCTGCGCGACCTGGAGCAGAAGAACGCCATGATCTCCGTGCTGGAAAACACCATTAAAGAGCGCGAGAAGAAATACCTGGAGGAGCTCAAGATGAAGAGTCACAAACTGGCTGTTCTGTCGGGCGAGCTAGAGCAGAGAGCCAGCACCATCGCATACCTCACCGCGCAACTCCACGCCACTAAGAAAAAACTGTTAGCTGGCAGCTCCTCCGAGGCTAGTCCCAACGTAAGCCCTGTGTCGTCGTACAAGCCCACCCCTCCGCCGGCCAAAGACAGGCAGCCCGAGACCCCGCGGCGCCGCATGAAGAAGAGCCTGTCTCAGCCACTGCACCCGGAGCTCACAGAGGTGTATCGCGTCGGGCAGGAAGGCCGGAGGGTGGTGCTCCGCGAGTCCCTGGACGCCATGCCCGACCCTACGCCCTTCCTCCAGGCCGAACCACAGCTGCTGCGTGAACGTCCCGCGGTCATCCCCCCCATAGCACCTTCGGGCTCCGCTGCCGGCGTCAGTCCTCGCCACAGCCCGGCGCGAGACAGGCAGCACCGCGCACACGTGGGGGTGGCGCACCGCATTCCCCACGGAGCACCTCCCCCGTTCGCCCCACTGCAGACGGAGCTGGAGACGCTGGCGGTGGACCAGGTCGCTGAGGATAAAGTGGTACGTAAACGCTCAGGTGTGGATCGGACGGTTTGAAATGTTACGTACGCAAACACGCAACTGTAGGAGCAACAGGAAGAAACCTGACCCACTGTGTAGCCCGCTTTATACGCAATATTTAAAACAAAAGGAAAAATCACTTTTGGTTGACGTAAAGACTACAAAGCATGCCAAATGTTGCTGAACCACTGAGATCTTGTATCATACACCTGCTTCTGCTTTCCAATATTTAGTTTCATGCGGTGCATTTAAACCAATTTTCAGCCAAAAATCAGCATCAGTGCCTCCTCAGTCGGCTCAACGGTAGACAAGCTGTGTAATGTAGTCCACACTTAGTGCTCTCACTATGTCACCGTCTTGTCTTTTATGCATTTATCCAAAAATGTATGGATAACCTCTTAGGGTAGATTTAAAGCAAATTATCTTTTCTTGACCTGTCTGACCTTAATGTTTGTGAACACTGTATAATATAGATATGAGCCGCATATTGTGCAATTGAAGGCTGCTGTTTTGAATTTCCAATGCAGTACGACCTGTGGAGAAGAGCGTGGAGACTTGCATGTGCTGTGTGAGTGGTGAGAGGTAAAACTTGGTTTGGACTGTAATATGATGGTATTTGTGATACCAGGGCATTTTTTAAACACTGCAATTTTGTGATATTAATATAATAGTACTTTATAAAGCTCGTGCATTTTTAATGTTTTTTTTAATTTATTGTCTAAGGGAAATTTTCAAGCACTGAACATAAACACTATCAACATAGCAATTATCTGAATAATCTGCTTCATGGTCACCATTCTTTGATGATCAAATCAATACAATAAAGCTATGCCTTTGACTTGTCTTCTTGTCTTATCTTTACATATCTATAGTACTTTTAGTGATAAATACAGACAATCCTGAATTAACAAAATGTTCTAAATGTATCATTGTTTTGACATACAATCCATGTGACAAATGATTAAAATATTATTTATTTCCATTGATATTTGAATAGGCAGGACATCTCACTCCACCGGTAAGGGCCAGTGGCACTCAATAGTCATAGTTACAACATTTGGCATATTCTATCCTTGCATATTTACTGTTTAAAGGCCACTCGATATTCTGACAAATACATACCTATATCAAACACATCACATAAAAAGAAATCACTACCCGGACAAAAGTGATCATAAAGGGCCTAAAGCATGTTGAAGATAGATATATTGGCCTGAGTATATGTCAGTTATGATTATTATGATTAAAAGTGCCTTGTCATAACCAAGATGTTGGCCTTATAGTAAACATTCCTACTCACTCAGATGCTTGTGCTTGTTTTTCTGAAACACATCTTGAAACTGTTACTGAGCAAGCTCCATTCTTTGGTCAGCTTTTCTTTGTTGTAAACCTAAACAAAGACCAAAAGTTAGATGGACTTGCATTATATTAGTTTGTAGACATCAGCACGGACCTGATTCAGTGAGGGTCAGATTTTTGAGCTCCTCTTCCAGCTGCTCATCTGAAATTGTCAGGGGAGTGTAAGGGACAGCAGGCAGCGAGTCCAGCAGGTCTGACCCTGGTGTGGTCAGTCGGTCTGATGGGACTTTAGGCAACACTAAGGCTGGGTCAGGCTGTGGCTCCTCCAATAAAGACTTAAGCTCCTCCTCCAAAGCGTCCATATCTTCATCTAAAACAAAATGCGATTATATTTACATTACATATATTTGTGATGACACAAGCTATGTGCACAATGACACACCTGTACTAACCACACCACTAGCGAGAGTCTGGTTCACTTCGTCTTGAGTGTCACACAACTATTGACAAAATGTGAAACATTTGTCATTAATTAAAATCACCAACACATGATGAGTGCTTAAAAGAAAGGGTTACCTCCTGGATTTGATCCACCAAGCTCTCAGCTCGTTCCACTGTCACATCTTTAAGAGAGAGTCTCAGAGCTGACACACCAGCCTGATACGCTTGTATGACCTGCTCAACAGTCAGTTATTATGAAAATATATATACTGTACATATACACACAAGGCTACATGTGTCTTTCTTACCATCTTATCGGTCTGTGACTGAGCTATACGGTCCAGGATTCCTCTGATTGTCTCTAGTTTAGCAAATAAACCGTCTGCCTTTTTCTCAACTCTCTTGCGTCCTCTCAGACATCTCAAAGCCTGTTTACAAGACAGGAACACACTCCTGTAAACGTATACAGTATATACTCTAAACTTGTATATTCTTACACTAAATCACAGTATAAATTACAGAATATTTAACCTGAGATTTCTTTCCATCGCGAAGTAGAACCCTTGCTTCATCTTTACATCTTCAATAAAATTCAAAGTGTCAAAATCATTATTGAAAGTCTAAATCTAATTAGATTTCTAAATCTAAATGCATACTTCTCAGCCTCGATTCCCAGTTTTTTCACCCTCTCTCCAAGGAGCTTCTCACTGCGCTGGAGCTGGTAGATGCCTAGGTCTACGTCATTGACCGGAGGGACTCTATCCTGGCCAGGCTGACTAAATTTAACAATCTGCATGGACACAGGTAAAACAGGATACAAATGTTAAAACAACTATGTATATCATGAACAATGTAAACACTTTCTCGGGACACCTTCTCTCCTTCATGGATTGAGACAATCACTTGTTTGTCCTTCTGCAGCTGCAGTAGAGCCATGCAGAGGGTGCTCTCATCAGCACAGATACCTGCTGAGAGACTTTGCAGCTCTTGAAATGACACGATCAAACAGTTTGAAAACTCACTGCTGTGATATGCTTCAAGTAATTCAGCGGATTTCTCCTGGTAAAAGATTGACAAGAGTGTTAATTACAGCCCAGGGAAAAATAAAGGTGTCTGGGACTCACCTTAACTAGTCCAATGACAACAAACGATTCTTCTAAAGGCACACGGCTGCTTCCCAGAAGAGTAGAGAAAGTCCATTTGATCGGCTTCACTAACAAAAGTCCCACGCCCCATGACAGCCAGCCACTGTCCACATTAGCAGCAAACTCTGACTCCCTCTGAAGCTTCCCACTCCTGAAAATATGACAACGAACAGTCATGACAAAAACACACTTCAATACAACTAATAAAATCAAGCCAGAGTGCAATCAGACAGAGATCAGAATTTAAATTACATATTGTGCAATGTCCCTGTCAAATACACAAAAAATACACACATTCTGAAATAATGTCACATTTGTTGAGGCACTTTTGAAGGATTTTACTTATTTTATCATGGACCACTGCACACACTTCTCTGCTTTATTATCATGTGACCTTTGGTGGGCTATTTAGATATTAGCTAACTATTAATATTATAATTATTATACAATTACTACTATAATACTATAATTTACTTTTGTAATTGTCAGACATTCTAATTTGTAATAGTACTTTCATGACTGCCGTAATTTCATGTCTTGGTTTTTTGAGATCTATAAATTGTTACTTTGATATTTTAGCCCTTCACTTAGCAATATTTTTTTTAACCATAGTGTGAGTCCAATCTAATACATCTTCTATTAAGTTAATGATCCACTCGACCCTCCAGAACTGCATCTTATAATGATATAGAATACACTCTTAAAGTGTAAAGTGAAGAAATGTAAGCAGATTTTTATATATGCATGTCTTTTTGATTTTATTCTGCTTTAACTTGTTTACACCGAGAGCAAACGCAATTTCCCAGTTTGTGACTTATTTTTACTCACATGGCAAAGCTTGCAATAACACAATAACACATATGACTTTCTACCTTTAGACGTGAGAGCATACCTGGACATAGACTGGAGGACTGTGGGCAGACCAAGCGGGCATTTGTCTTTCCTCCTGAAGGTCTTGTTGAGATCTTGTAGGTTGACACAGACTGACTTTCTGTCTTTGCAGCTCTGTACGATCAGAGAAGTCCAGAAGTCCATCTTGCTGTCCCAGTCCGAGGTGTTCACGTCTCTGTTCTCCTTAAACTCAGAGAAAAGAAAATTCATCCGCTCGTCGTCATCCCACTCTGCTGGCAGAGACATTGTTCTGGCAGAAATGCGTTTAATTTGTCTAATTCGGTGAACAACAGTGCCAGTTTTGGTTTTGTTATGACAGCTAGCTTGCGTTAGCTTAGCCTCACCAGAATATAGGAAATTACACGGAAATACATTCGTTTTCAGAAAAAAGTCAGCTGATACTAGCCATGGCTAATATCACAAGACAGCAACACGACCAAAAGTTAAAAATGTTGAACTAGCGTGTCAAGTATGATCAAGTATCAACAATGTTTAGTTATGCTTGGGGAAGGTGTCGTTCAGGCAGATGGGGCGGTGCTAATAGTTACAGCTTGAAAACGTGCACCGCTTCAGAGAGACAGACACGCAGTTCAACAAACCAAACGCACTACAATTACGACATTGTACCATTATGTACTGCTAGATTGAACTCAAAAGGAAGCAATTTACAGCCGTTCTAGCAGCCATGTTTTGACTGGATTTTATTGTAGTATACGTTTCAATACTATTCTTGTTATAAATTGGTAGAAAATGTTAGAGTACCATTTATTAGAGGTCCCATAATAATCATGAAACTCAATTTCAAACCCTTCAACCATTCAGACAGTCAATCATTTAATTATATCTTACAATCACAAGATGGCGGCCGCAACATCTCATATTCCCATATTCCACCCATGGATCACGGATCTATTATAATAACACCATGGATCTATTCCACCCCTTGTTTTAATTTGACGGTTTTAGTAAATAAGAATTATATATATAGACTGTTAGAACAATAAATAAACAAATACAATTATTTTAAATGTTTTATTGAAATTTCCGTGCAAATAAATGAATAAATAAAAAAATGATAAGTGATACATTGTTGACAACCACAAAGAGCTTTCAATACATCCATCATTAGTCCAACTTTTTCACATAAGGACAGTTCTGTATTTCAAAAAACAAGCGGAAAATACTTGATGATGATGATCGTAGTGAATGTCATAACAGTCTTGTTCACATCTGATTCATTATTGCAAGCCAAACATCTTCAGTTGTATTCTTGAATGCATTTTAATAGAATGTTTATGAACATATTCAAACTTATTGAAGAGAATGAAAAATCTTTTTTTTATATATTAAATGAAAGCAGCATCAGAATATAGTTAGAAAACATGTAAAAATGCTGCAAAAAATGTTTTTCTTTAATAGGTCCATAGAATACTTTATTATGATCATTGATGATGTGTTGAGCCCAAAAACATTCACCAGGTTTCTAGCTAGAAATTGTGTTTTTGTCTTCTCTTCTATTTATTAGAGAAGAAAACAAGTTGACATGTCTGCTGAACATTTCAAAATTAAGCTTTCTTTTTGTTATTCATCCAAAATATCAGCCATTTGGATTTAGATTTTATGTCAACCATTGAGAATTTATTTTGGTATTTCATTCCCTGTATTTTTGGGAGCATTATGTTGACATGACATTTCGTCTTTGGTAAATTTTTATTATGATCTTGGAACGAAACATGAGCACATATCATCCAGCATTATGCAATTGGTTCCACAGTTAGACAGTAATCACAAACCCATAAGAGTATGCACATTTAGGATAGGAATTAGTAGTTGCCCATGCACATTGTTCACATTGTTAGATTAAGAAGGCTATTGCACATATGCTGCAATTGGCACTTACAGTAGGCTACATGTTAAAGACATATGGTGGTTTATTGTTTTGTGAGATGGTGCATACGTATACTGTATATCAAAATATTAACGAAACTTGCCTTTCTTGTTTACTTTGTAGAACTCCATTTTGTCAATTTGATTTTATTTGGCACATGTTCAAGGTAATGCTTTGTCTTTCTGTGACATGTCTACTTGGCACTCAGATCTACCAGCAGGTGCTGATAGGCCAAAGTGTTGCCTTTGAAACTAGCTGCCAGCAAAATGTCCTTGTTGTCCACAGATATCAAGCTAAACGCCCGGGGTGCTCTCATGTTAAGCTCTTGGAAGGGCTGGAAGCGCTGAGTAAGGTCATCCCACAAGTACACCCTGGAGAAGGAGAAATCGCTGCCCAGGATCAGGTACTGTCTCGGGCCTACAGTGAACGGATACACCACCATTGAACCACGAGATGGCAATGTCTGAATCTCTACAAAACGTTGTCCTTCCCAACGCATGATTTTAGAGTCCCCGATAAAGCGTGTGAGACAAAGATACAAGTTTCTCCTCACCCAAAAGTGCTTCACCATCTGTACATCGGGCATTTCGGAAATCTGGGAGTGGAAAATGAACAGCTTCTGGCTGCGGTTCCACTGGTAGACGATCGGGGGCTGAGAGGCACTAGACAGGATGAGGTGAGGCTTCCCCCCTGCATCGATGAACTCCACGTGGGTGTCCCGGTGCCAGGGGTGAAGAGACTGGTGCGTGTAGAAGCCGTTGCTGTTCCATCTGTAAATGCTGGTGGAGCCGGCTTTGGAGCTGTCCGCAACCACAAAGTACCACTCTCCGTCAAGTAAAAAGGTCTCTACAAAGTTTGGTTTGCGCACTCGAGTCGTGTCGATGTCCTGGATTTTGATGAAGCGCTGTGGGGCATCCTCCCATCTAAAAAACGAAAATATACAAATACACAAAACACTATTATGGAGGGAACATACAACTTTGCATCACAATTACAACTGGAGCTGAGCGTGGAGCATTTCTCCCTCTGAGATTAAAGTTATTTGACAGTTGTTCTTGCTTAGTAATAAATAAATACAATTATATAAAATTCAGATGTTTTATCAACTCCAAATTTATATCATATTTCTGTTTACGTGTGGTCCAAGATGTCTTTGCAGATGTAACATTTCCTCGGCAACTTGTCAAACCAAGTTATTATTGTATTGTAGCGTAATTGCTCACATACAAAATATATTAAGCCAAAATATAGCAAACTTTATGTTATATACAGCACCTTTGTTGTATATTCTCAAAATGTATAATCCAAAAGTCAAATCAGTAATTTTGTGCAAGTTTGTTTATTCTCTTCGTTCAACACATACATTTGATTTAACTTACTATTCCATACAAACATGATCCAAAAATTCCAGTATGATGGTGGCTAATGAACCAATTAGCCTAATCTAAGTACAATTCTAACATAATGAGTCAAATCTTACTTGTAAATATGTGAGCCTCCAAACAACTGGGCCACCACCATGTGCAGAGTGTTGTTGATCACCACAGGTTTGCAGTACACAGCAGAGCGAGCTGAGGGAGCGGCACAGAACAACATTACATAAATACAGACGACTGCGGCCCTGCGTCACTCGTGAGCAGTGGATGAATCTTACATGTGATGTTGTGAAACTTCCGGAAGACCATCTCTACGTGGTCCCACACGTAGACTGCGCAGTATCCGGAATCCGGCTGCGCAAACGTCACAAACTGATCGTCGTTGAAGTCATAGGACTCCACTGACACCGAGTGGAACGGAAAAGTTTCATACACTGCAAAATCTACAGGAGAGGAGATACCAAACACACAAAAATAGATTTACTTTGTGTCCATTATGAGATGGGACAAACTGGAACGGGAGTGAAAGTGGGACAGTGAAAGAGATATGTACATTTAGACTTGCAGCTGCTGAAATCACAGTCAATAGTGAATTTGGAATTGGTCACATTGTATCATTCCCCAGAAAGTCCTGTCTTTTCTATGTTCAAACTGATGCTTTCATGAGAAATTATTATGTTATTAAACTGTATCTTATGTAAATATATCTTTATACTATAAAAGCAAGCAAAAGATAGATTTGCAAAAAACATATTTTCTAAAAGTAGTTGTCGACTAGTGTGTGGTTCTGATTGTTGGTAAGCATAACCTAAATTATTTGTTTTTCGGGACAAAACCTCTGGATCCAACACTGGATACATAGTTGTTTGTTGAATCAGTGCATTCCTCCATAAAGGAATTTGGCGATGCATTGACAATAACAGTAGCTGTCAACAAATTATAACAAGATCAGCTTGAAAAAGTGACTCACTTGTGAGAAAGTAACATACTTGTTACTTTATAACAAGTATGTTTTCTGCTGAGGTGAAGACAGCATGTTTTGGTCTGATTTGTTCACAATATTTTACTCTTTAAGTAGTAGTAGTAGTAATCTTTATTTATATACCGCCTTTTCACTGCACATCGGAGTCTCAAAGCGAAGTCAACTTTCTATCCCTGTTTTTTGCCTTGTGCTAAATTGCCTTTTTGTGTTCTTTCATTATTCTTATATACAGTAGGTAGTATGACCAGTTTAAGTTAGCCTGAACAGTCTCAAACATACTGTACAATCAACACAATGATTGGGAATGAGACTAAAGCCGTACCAGCACTGATGCAGTTGAAGTCCCGAGGTGTTAGATCATGAACTCTGCGGCCCTGAAACTCAAAGGGACTGGCGCAGTAAACGGCAGGAACCGTGGTGTTGGTTTTCTCGATCCAGTCCACGAGCCACTTGATTTTACAGTCGCAAAGGAAAGAGTTTCCTCGCAAGTCTCTGGAAATGTAAAAGAACAACATGAGAACGAATATGAGACAGAATAATTGTGATGTCGGAAAACTTACAAATCAGTCAGAATGTCAAGGTTTTTGAAGAGGTCTCTTGGCAGCGTCTGTAGGTTGTTGTTTGAAAGAGAACTGGAAATATAAGAGATAGGTTACATGTTACTTATGAGGATATATTGGACTTACATATGAATAGACCAAGACATTTTACACACTGATGAAATACTTACAGGTGAGTTAGCGATTTTAATCCTCTAAAGGTGTACTTTGACAGAGCCTGGATGTCATTGTTCTCTATAAACCTGAGAACAAGGTAGAAATCACATGTAAATATATCCATATACTTCTTGTCTATACTTCCACGGCTCCCAAATCTTTTTGCCATCCAGATTTGCATATTTTGTGTAAATGTTTCTGTCCTGGACTTGTGTGTTGTATTTCATCTGCAGCAGAAAATGTCCACTGAGGTCAACTCATGACCACTAAGGTCATCTGAATGTCAAAACTAGAGATAGAAACAAACTGTTTTGAGAGCGAGAGAGATTTTTAGAGAGATGTTTTTTTATTGGTTACATTTGTTGTGGTTTGAAAGTTAGGTACCCCAGCTTTAAGCTTTTATTGTGTCCTGTTTTTTTTCTGAAAGCCACAGCAACTTTCATGTTTCTTTCAGCATTTTGCTTTTGATCTTGGGTTCAGTCAATCACATAAACAATATAAGATTTATCTATAAAAACAATAGATATTTAGTTGTTCACAAAGCACTCAGGTCGAACAGATTTTGATTCAATTTTGATTGATATCTCTAGATATTATGTTCTTTATGGAGCCAACGCCGATGTGACAGTTTTGCAAATGCCCCACGGTCAGCATCATTTGATCCAAACTGGCTCTGGTTTTTGTTGATGCGCCGGATCAGGGGGAAATAAAGGAGGTGTGTTTCCGAAGCAGTTTGAGGCGACGGAGTCATTAGCATTCACAGCGGGCCGTGCAGTTATGGCATCGGGCGCAGAGGGAGGCTGCACAGTGCAATCCCAGCATCAGCAACACTCTTTATGGGCCTCATCAACTCTCAGCGCCGCACTCAGCTTTATCAGGGGTCGTCTGAGTTTGCTTGTAGTTGGCTGTGACAAACGACGGCGAATTAAAATGCATCTTGGGGGATACGGTTAATCAATCTAACAGGCTGTGTGTTTGGTATTTTGGTTAAAGTTAGGGCAACCTAACTTTAAAAACTGACTGAAGTAGTCAAATTATTCAGTAAAAGTTGAGTAGTGAAACTCAACTTAATTCTTTGATCCCAAAACATGCATATACATATATTTGGCCCCTGTGACATCTTTAGATCTACTATTTTCAGACAGAAAAGTGAAAAAACCCTCACTCAGCCCCATTCTGTAAAATAGTGACTCAAAGGGCTAATATGTTTTCTAATAGGAATGCATGTTGGGACAGTTTATTTATTAAGTATGTAAAAATGTCACGTATCCAAGTTTGTAAAAGATTTTAGCAAGTTGTAAAAAAAATTAAGGAAGAAATGTGTATAGACTGGATCAAGATGGGAAACCCTGGATATATCTTGACATTGATCTTTTAATACATTTTTTCCAATTGTTTTAAAATATTAATGGGTTCTCATTTGTATTTGTATATGTATTTTCAGAATCAGAATCATTTTTATTGCCAACGTAAGTAACGGGAGGTCACAGACTTGGAAATTGCTTTGGCTCAGTGCAACAGTCAAAAAGAGATAATAAAAATAAGAATAAAAAACACTTCTAAAGAATAAATTTAAATTTAAAATAGAGTTACAGTTACTATTTACAATATACAAGTGCACATGGTGCACACAATGTAAGGTGACAGCAGTACAGTGAAGTAAAAGTGACGTATGATGGGCAGTAAAGTGACTTTATAAAGGGCGGGGGGACAGGTTAAGAAGTGTTCAAGAGTCCAACAGCAGAGGGGAAGAAACTGTTCTTGTGGCGGGAGGTTCTAGTCCTGATGGACCGCAGCCTCCTGCCTGAGGGGAGTGGTTGGAATAGTCCATGTGCAGGGTGAGAGGGGTCGGCTGTGATACGACCAGCCCGGCCTCGAGCTCGGGCGACGTACAGGTCCTGCAGCGATGGAAGGCTGCGGCCGATCACTTCCTCTGCAGAGCGCACAATGCGCTGTAGTCTCTGTTTGTCCCTGACTGTGGCTCCAGCGAACCACACGGTGATGGAGGAGGTGAGGATGGACTCGATGATGGCCGTGTAGAACTGCACCAACATCTGTGCAGGCAGCTTGGCTTTCCTGAGCTGCCGCAGGAAGTACATCCTCTGCTGGGCCTTCTTGATGAGGGAGCTGATGGTCGGCTCCCACTTGAGGTCCTGGGTGATGGTGGTGCCCAGGAAACGGAAGGACTCCACAGAGGTGATGGGGGAGTCCATCACGGAGGGTGGGGGCGGGGGGACAGTGCTCTTCCTGAAGTCCACAATCATCTCCACTGTCTTCTGGGCGTTCAGCTCCAGGTTGTTACCACTGCACCAGGACACCAGCCGGTCCACCTCCCTCCTGTAGGCGGACTCATCGTTGTTGGAGATGAGTCCAATGAGGGTGGTGTCGTCCGCGAACTTGATCAGCTTCACGGAGTCGTGGCTGGAGGTGCAGTGGTTGGTGTACAGGGAGAAGAGCAGGGGAGAAAGAACACAGCCCTGTGGGGCTCCTGTATTTATAATCCGAGAGTCCGAGACATTCTTCCCCAGACGCACTCGCTGCTTCCTGTCCGTCAGGAAGTCAGTGATCCACCTGCAGGTGGAATCGGGCACGTTGAGCTGGGAGAGCTTGTCCTGGAGCAGGGATGGCAGGATTGTGTTGAAGGCAGAGCTGAAGTCCACGAACAGGACCCTGGCGTAGGTCCCCGGGGAGTCCAGGTGCTGTAGGATGTGGTGGAGGGCCAGGTTAATGGCGTCGTCTACAGATCTGTTGGCTCTGTAGGCGAACTGCAGGGGGTCCAGGAGGGGGGAGGTGAGGGATTTTTTTCTATTTATTGAATTTATTTATTGAATTTACTTGTGGAGCTTATCTGTACTGTTGGTTTTCGTTTTTTTGTGGCCTTTTGCGAGTGTTTAGTGCTTGATGTAAATAGTATTCATCCAGAATGTGGTATATATGTGAACAATTATTTTCCAATAGAACATGCATGTGTTTTTTTTACCCTGATAATGAAACAAACGCAATTCCTAAACTGAAATTGGAAATGAATGCTATTGTATTTAAAGGGGAATTATGTAGCTTTGTACGCACATGACCTCATAGTGACAGAGCAGCAGGATGAAGGGTCAGCATGGTACCTTTACTTTCAATTACATGACGTAGAAGGTGCTACTTACAGGTACTGGAGGTGAGCCAGACCGGCAAAGGCGTTGTCATTTATCATGGTGAATGTGTTTGAGTTGAGGAGCCTGCCGCAATAACAAAGAAACACAGATTATATAAGGCGCAGTTCCTTGTACTATTTTACTATTTCATTTGTTTTTCCACATTCACACTTACATAAAAACCAGAGAATATGGTTTCAGAACTTTAGGCTAGCTTTAGCTCCTGCTTGTTCATTCAGACTCGGGTCCTTTGGGTGACAACAGCTTATAAAAGGCAAGTCTTGAACGTATTTAAGTTGATTTATTTTACCCCAAACTAATTACAGATTAAAGTGATAGTCTGTTCCTTTTCAAACTGTGAAGAGAGTGAAACTTTTTAAGACAGGCACTGGTTAGACCCGCCCCGTGCTCAGCCCTGCAGCCTCCTGATTAGTCAAAATTAATACAAATCCTTGAGGCTCCTTTTCCTCCGGCAAATGACTGGTGACAAATGCCAAGGGGAGGGACGATTTTATAATAAATAAATAAAACAGTAATAATAATATTATTGTTGAAAAACGCACCACACAGCATCTAGAACAGCATGAGGCGCAGTCTGCTTATACCACGGTCAAAGTATAAATAACACTCACACACTCATTGCTTTTAAGAAAAAAAAATAATAATCATGATGATGCATGTTTGGCCACTTAATTTATCATATTGATGTATAACATACCGTCAAAAGTAAAGTTGTAATGAAAACTAAGTTAAGAGTTTGTGCTTATGATGTTTGTTGTTATGGTAACCACTTGTGATACGGAACCTGTATCTTAATATGTGGTTGAATCCCCACTGACCATATAATATAATGAGGCATAATAGACTTTTCGGCACGGTGGCTGAGTGGCTGAGTGGATAGCACTCTCGCCTCTCAGCAAGAAGGTCCTGGGTTCGAATCCCGGTCGGACCAGGGCCTTTCTGAGTGGAGTTTGCATGTTCTCCCCGTGTCTGCGTAGGTTTCCTCCGGGTACTCCGGTTTCCCCTACCACTAAAAATATGTCCAATAGTTCTAGCATGCGCCTCCTGTTCGGCGACCCCGCTCCCATCTCTGTGTGGAGTGAGAGACAAATGCCCATAATTAACAATTGTAAACCGCTTTGAGACTCAGATCTGCAGTGAAAAGGCGGTATATAAATAAAGATTACTTACTACTACTACTACTACTTACTTCCTTGGTAGTGGTTTATTCAAAAACGTCTAATAAAATTATGCAAGTGTAGAAAGATCCATTTTAAATCGAATTAGTCCATCTGACAAACTATTGGCAGGAATCAGACAATCATTTGTTTGTGGTCTTGTGCAGAGCTGAACAGGGTGGGTGACAATGAACCCGATACAGAGCCTGTTATGCTATGTCACTACTGTTTTCTGTCGCCATTTATTCAAGTAGCATTCTAGATTGTCAAGAGTTGTCTCTGTCACTGAAAACAATGTACAACACCATACAAAACAATGACAAAAGAAATGGACCTTTCATTTTCTGCATGGAAAGCATATTTGACTGCAAAAGCCCTGCGTTCATTTGATTATTTCTTTATGATGATTTCATAACAGGTCATACTCACAAAAACTGCAAGAGTGTAAGATGTGAGAAGGCTCCCTCTGGAATTGTAGTAAAAGCTGCATTCACCATTGTCCTGTCACAATAGAAATACATATTGCAAAGGTTCATAGACACAAATAACTTCAAATAAACTTCAAAAACAATGGCAAACTTACACAATACATATCTGCAGTCACACCTTGTTAAGTCTTAAGTTCGAGGGAGGTGAGCGATCTAATTAAAACTTGCAATGTTCTTTTTTATGACAGTCATAAAAATATTCCAGTGTTATTTCCCTTAGCCAATTAGACTAATATTCATTTCCTCAAGCTGGGACATTGAGTGACAGGGCCTTTATGAGATCTGAGGACATAAAACTCTCACTTTCATTACGCACGCTCCATTTAGTGCACGGCTGTGGCTCCAAGAATGGATTTGTCAAAGCGAAAGCTGCAGCAGAGGACCGTTCTATTGTTAGAATTACTCCCTGGAGTTTAACACTTTCCACCGCTGCACTCCTTAACAATCATTTGCAGTCAACACATCAGCCAATTTGATGCAGTCTTTCTTAAGTAGTTTTAACAGAACAATTATTGATGTTAAAATAAAGCAGTGATTATCAAACTCCTTACACAATGAAAATACAAATCTTTCTGCATAGTGCGTACCACCATGTGTAAAACAGCACTTTTATCATAATAAATTAGTTCTAAACCAGTTGCACAAGGACAACATGGGGACTAAAAATTACTCTAAAAAGGACATTTGAACTGCAGAGGAATCACCTGTCATAAATAAGACATAGCAAGTATGTAATGGGTACTATGGGGCAATAAATACATATTTGAAAAGCTTTTCTAGCTCCAGTGCCTAGTATTACTTTATTTGCTGGAATTCTGGATTACACTGCATTATAATTAAAATAACCTGACCAAAATCACAATTTTAGTGACCACAAATGGCAACTCGAAAGATAGCAAACATTTAGATTGCATCATTTTATTTACAAACTGGTGCTGCATATTATAACAATTTGTCTATGCCTGTGTTTCAAGCTCCCACACAGACTTAGAAATACAAGGATAACTGAAAATATCTTAATTTGAGAGCAATGTGACTGTTTAATCTGATAATGGCTAGAGCAAATCCAGTCTTATCTTTCTTAGTTTTAAGCACAGAGAGATTCTAAGTGAGATTCTAAGTCAGTTACTTACAACATAAAAAAATATTGTCATTCAAAGAAATGCAACTTTAAAACAGACTTCAGCTTTCTCTCAATGTAGTGCACTTTGAACACTATCCTAGTTTCATAACAGTAATCGCAATCAGATAATCCCTAAAATTGTGCAGCCTTAACAAGCTGCAGGCCTGACTTACAGAGAGATGATGCCTGGTGGGAAGCTCTTGGGGATAGCTTTGGTGTCCACGCAGAATGCACTGTCTTTGGTGCAGGAGCAGGTCGCCGGGCAGCGAGGGACCTTCGGCTTCTTTGAGCTGGCTTCCTCCATGCATAACAAAAACAACAGGCTAAGTACAAGCAAAAGCGCCATCATCCGTCTTCGTCCGCGCATTCTCGAAGTTCTCCCTGGAAAGTTGACAGCCTGGTTTGAATAGCAGTGAATAGACAGAGAAAACACTGTGGAGATGGTGTTGTCAAAGTGGGTGAGGCTTTTGCTGGTTGTACCTCTCCTGAAGGCTGGCTGGTGCTGAGGATGGCACACTGCAGGGATGACGACGACCTGTGCACTGCGTTGCTCACAATCAATAATTCACCAACACATTCACACTACGGCGGAGAGGAGAGAGGCAGAAGCACCACTGCCAGTCGCCGCGCGCCGTAGATCACTTTTAGAGGCTGCAGCTGTAAAAGGGTCTCCTCAGCATGCATTTCAGAGCATCCAAAGCTGCTCTTTAAGTCTCCACCTTGCACTTTTGCTCAATCAAATGCATAATAGTCATAATAATAATATATAGATGTATCTTTCAATAACTGATAGTATGTAATGTTATTTTTCTTACTCTTTCTTTGTGCACCATGATACAATTTGAACCGAATATCTCTTCATATTAATCTGAATATGTCACTTTTATGATCAATTATTTATTAGTTATGTTTATTTGTTTCAAGTTATGCATGTTATTGATTAACAATGGTTCACATGGATTGTCTGCTGTTTTGTGTTTGCCCCAGTGGCACAAGTATTTTTTTTTTATCATAATGCTTATTGTTTATAACATCTCAATATCAATATATCGTCCATCAAAACCTGTTCTGGTGACAGACTTAAGAGTCTATTTTAACATATTTTGTGTTATTGAGTTTGTATTTTCTGTCAGCATTTTAAGAATCTTGACAGATTATATATTGCAACTGCATAGAAGAAAAACAGTAGCAGTTGTAAGAATTTCAGGACCTTGACAATCATATTTGAGTAATATTCAAGAAAGATAGATTTGTAGTTGTCTAACAGCAGTACAAACATACATGTAAAGTACGTTAATGTATGTCATATAAATATTGTTCAAAGGTTTTCAGTGTAGAAACATTGGCTGTGATCGAAAATTGACAAGAAAAACTATTCTTTAGTTTAAAACAAGAGACAGCAATATAAGTAATTAGTACACAATATATTTGGGAAAGAATATAGTCAACGTTGGGCTCAAGTTTCTATAATATATTACTTGTTACAGGTATAACAGTGTAATATTATGGTTCACCTTAATTTGAGTTACTCTTGAGTTACTTATATTCATGAAAAAACGAATGCTTATTTTTATGCATTGACCTAGGTGTTTTGGAGTGTAGAAAGCTCTTTTTAAAGAATACATGTTATATACATAGAATGAGTATATCTTTCACTACAAATAAGTTGTACATGATGGACTGTATCCAACTTTGTTTTGGGAAAGTTATGGCAATTCAACTTGAGTTACTATTAAAATGTTACCTTTTCGCAATAAGTTACATAACTGAGTGACCACATAGTTTAGCATTCTACAACATGTATCGACATTTTCTTCTGTGTGTGCTTTATATTCTCCATGTGTTTTGGCTGTTGATTCTCTGACCTGTGTTGGTGATTTCAATGGTTTTGTTAAGTCCTCTGAGATGACTTCTGTTGTGACCTAGGGCTATACAAGAATAAATTGTAAATTGTGTGTAAATTGTGTAAATAGCTGACCCATCTTTTTCATTAGTTTTAATCAGCCTTTTCTATGTTTTCTATTTATGGTTTATGGTTTTTATAGATCAAATATAACCTAGGACACTCGGAAATCAGGAACTTGTGCCAATGTTGTTGACTCACCTTTTATCAAAGCTTCGTTAAAGATAGTAAGAAGTCTTTATTTAAAAATGTGCCTTTATTTACAGACGAGAGGCATAAACGCAGCAGTGTGAGTGGATTCTAAACTGTGACACTAGAGGGCGCTGTTGACTATACAAAGTGCTGAGAGGCTGCGGCTACATCCGAAAATTCAAAACACCAACTTTCCCGTCCTCTCTTGTCTTTTTCGTGTCTCCAGATTTGATTAAGTGACATATAGGATTAAATACATTGGTTATTGTCACTTTGATTAACGCGTATGGCTACAAAGTCAATAAAAATGACAAGAACGGATATCTAAGGAAGGATGGCTATTCTTTGGATTCGGATGAAACCAGGGGCCAGTGCTGGAGGCTGGGGGGACGACGCACGTGGGAGGGACATGGACATGGGACAAATCAGCTGTGCAAGGACAATCCCTCGGTACCAAGCGCCACCAGTCTCCCTCCTCCTTCTCCACAATCTCACTTTGTCACAACCCGAGGCCTGGGGGTAAGACTTTCACACAGTCCTCAGGCTTTAGCATCTGATCAACTGTTACTGCAATTTTGAAAAAGAAATGTATTTAACTTCTTAATCAAACCCAAATTGTCTTATCGTTCCGAGCAGCGTTTATCTAATTAAAGTCTACTAATCTATTTTTGTGGCTTACAAATTAAAGCTGGGGTACCTAACTTAATCATCAAAATTACATGTTGTTTGTCTCAACAGAGTCAAAATGTTGTGAACCGATCTGACCACAACATTCTGCATGTTATCTTTTGCAGATTTATAAAAAGCTTGGAGTTGGATTGATAGTATAGTTCCATTTGTCTTGCTGGTTTGGAAATATGGTACCGGAATTGGAACTCTATATGACAAAACAAAGAGACCACCTCTGACCACCAGGGGACACTAGATGAATAGATGTATGTATAGCATATATGCATGTTATCTATGAATTAACTTTATCACAGAATACAGATAAAGAAGATATAATGGTTTTTTAACATTTAACTACAGTGAATTGCTTCAATATTTGAGTATGAGTTCAGTGAACCATTTTCACTATCCTGCATGTTGTTTTGTTATGTCAGTCACACATCTTATTCCCTTTATGCATCTGTAAGGAGCGTCACATGAGAATCTTTGAATAAAACATGTCTTGCTCCTAAACTTGGATTAAGATCATGGGTGTAGTCTGATCCAGTGTTATTTCCTGAAAGGCAGAGCTATACTGAACAGTTTATTTTCTTTTGTCTGTTGTTGCGTGTGCGTCTTTTTTTGTCTAATTGTATATGTGCATTCATGTAAGTTATGTGCAGTTAATGCCAGAGCTTACTTCTCCCTGGAGCTCCACCCAGCTAGAGCGAGCCTCCGGTGGGAAACTCAAACTCTATAATTGTATGGCAGCGAATAGGAACCATGAAGCAGCAGCTGGAGGCCAAGCATGCCCTGTGCAAGCCAAATAGTTAAAAATGTGGCGAGATATGAATGCATGCTTTGTTAGTTGTTTTAGTTGTGTTTAGGATCAATGCTGCAATGCACACATCATGGCTTGGTTTTTTTCAAGGACGCTTCACCAGAGATATGATTAACATATTCCATAAACGAGTGTGCAATTTTGGTGTTGGAAGAGACAGAATAACTGAGCATTTGTATTCTAGCAAAACATTCTACTGATACCTTCTTTAACAGTTCAATATGTTTTTTTTCTGGGCTACAATCATTTCATTTACTAGAACTACATACACTTCAATAAATGAATATATATTTTTTTAAAAGATACAAATGTTTTTAAACTAATTGTATACTAAATAAATAAAAAAAACGGCTACTACTAATCACTGCAACTGTCTTAAATGTATCTTTATGTGGAAACATTTTAAAACTGTACAATGTTTGAGCATAAACAATATCATTTTATTATTGAAGTAATTGGAATGTTTGTCTATGGTAAAATTATTATATGGGAAATAGATAAAGTGTACCTGAGGGACCAGCATCTCCATACAGCTTGATTATCACGAAGATTTGTCTGGCTGGCAAGGTTGAGATTCAACTTATCAAAAAATAAGTTGAAATCTTGTTACTTTTTATTCACACATCTTTTCAGTCCACTTTAAATCACTTATTTTTGAATGCCTCAAGTGTTTGACCACAGTCTTGAACATCGAGCATTCTCCTCCGCTCCAAACCCACATCCCATTCTAATTACTGACCCAAAGAGCTCCGTGTGTCTGTTCCCATTTCCTCTTTGGTTTTCACGGTTTTGGCCTTGTCCTGGCTGCACAGGAAGCTGCACAAAACACACACTCAATTCAACCAAAGGCCTAATTTGTTTACCTCCTTCAACCTTTTTCGTCTTCTTATTTCTAGGGAAAAACCCCAGCAGCTTCAGGCGTGTCGTTCATCCCGCACCGCAGAGGTGTGGGACACGTCTGCACACGTCGAGGTGCACACACTGTCTGCTCAGGAGGAAGTAACTCCAACTTATTGACACAGGACGACCAGGTCACCGTGATTTAAAGCATTACATCTGACAGACGCTGCTCTCCACTGACGAGGGCGCACAATGTCACATGTCCCTCTGGTCTGGTGAGTCATACACAACCAAGACATTTAACTAACAGGAATTGCCATGGCAACTGCTATCAAATCATAGGCAAATACAAAGACTATAGATATTACTATAGGTAAATCTGTTATTATGATTGATTGGGTTGTAATGGTCTTATAAGAACCAATATTAGGAATGAGGCACAGTGGGGAGATGTCAATTGAATAAAACAAGATCTCAAAACAAAATGAATGAAATTTCATGAAACACATCATTATTTGTTGCCGTTTCAATCCATCTAAAAGAGCTGCTTTCTCACACAAAAGTAAATCATTGTGGATTAGCTCTGCACCAGCCATTCAGCTCTCTACACAAAACTACTGCTGCCGCCACAGCTGCCCTGAGGTAGACTGACAGAAGCAAGTGTCTCGCCTAAGGCAGCGGCACCTGGTCTCTCAGTAGTGTCCCATCCAAGTGCTAGGGTTAGGGTTAACCCTAGCAAGCTGCAAGCTTAGATTCTATTGTCACTGTATTTTGTCCTCTGCATTAGACCCATCCTCCCAATGCCACAGCCTCAGTGGAAGGATGGGTCAAGAACAGTGGTCGCTACATGCAGAATCCAGGGACCCATCTGTTGATGCTCCGCTGGTGAGAACTACTTTTGCTTGTTTGTGTGTAACAAGGAATTATAGATGTGACAGCATAAATTAAATGAATATAGCATCCAAAAATGTAATTTTTTATTTTTTGACCAAATTTAGGCGGTCACATTTCTTGTCCGTATCTTTTTACAGCTCTTCCCTTTAAAAATGTGAGTAATGAGCCTTTAAAGACACTACTAAATATATTCACATCAGTCCTAGCTTCATATGTGTCTAAATGTGAAAGTGTGATCTCCTAATCAGTCATTTTAAAAGCACCCAGCTAAAGTAAAGACTTCTCCTCGACTCCACAAGACGAGGAATTTGGATTACAGCTCTGTTTAGTGAGATTTATTTGGAAAGCTATGAAACTTCCTGCCCCTCAACCCACTTCCACCATAATGAGCCAAGTTAAACCAGGACTGGATGTTATTTTTCTAAAATAGAAGGTGGTCTGTGTGCCATAGGGATTTGGAGACAGTTCGCAGGATCTTTTTATTGGGCACCCTCAAGGTGTTATGTTACATTAACAGCTGGATGTTTTGTCGAGCATGTAAAAGAGTGTTCAATTGTTTTTGCAGTTATTCTGACTTGCTTGAGTCGTAAAGAGAATCCCTTGGTGCATTACATTAAAAAGCAATACATTTCACAAGACATATTTGTAAATAATATCCAAATGGCATTCATGGATAAGAATTCTGTTCTACACATTATGTTACTTTGCAGGAGGTGTACCTGTTCTGGCATCTGGCCAATCTGGCATTTTATAAAATCTTCCCTCCAAAAATACATATTAAGACTGTGTTTGGTCTTGCCACTCAAACTATCCTACCATGGTGTATAATGTGTTTGTCCCAATGGCCTACCATATTATGAATATTTTTAGGCACATTTTGATGGAAACAAGCAGGTTTCTGTTAGAACTAGAAATAGGCAATATCTGCAAACTTCACTCAGTGTCTCTGTTAGTGAGACAGGGAGTGGGGGGGCTTCCACCTTGTTGCCACCAACTTTTTAGCCGCCGTAAGCCTCGCCAAGTCCAAGCCGAAAGAAGTCATTCAGGAGAAGGACCAGGGGAGAGCAAGGCACCAGGTACGACTGGCGGCCACCATCTACTAATTCTTACATATCAGATATGGCTGGCAGAGATAGATGCACAAGGCATTCACTTTAGTTTTGCAGTAACCTGCAGAGGTGATGTGAAGTGGACTGTGTGTAATCAAATCTATGACAGCTGCTTTTCAGAGACGTGCTTTAATCCAATATGGTCTTTCGGCCACTTCAAAGCTGCAGGACTGTGTTTCGTGTGACGGGGCAGAGCCTGCTTTTTGTGACTTTGTTGATGAAAACCAGGAGGACGTAAACGCTCGGCTTTTATGATATCAGAGCAGTAACTGAACAAGACCTGAATGCTTATCATGCAAACAAAACACAGATTTTTGTAAATACAATAGACAGTCATTTTACAAAGCTACTCCAAAACATCTCTTTTTCTACTGTCTCTTCTATAGATACTTGACTATAATTGTATGCAATAGTAGAAAATATTGTTGCACAAGAAAGTTGTGATAGAAAATAAAATTTAAGCTTTGCAATGGAATACGTAACAATGAATCAGGAGAATCCCACTAAATTAGTCTTAATAGAATGATATCATAACCAGGCATGCAGCAACAGACAGCAGAATTAAATGATGGTTAGCCCCATGCTTCTTTTACAACTGTGTTCTGCTAAAATCGTCAACATAAAGACAAAAATGTCCCTAATATAGACCGATTTCAATTCTTTTAATTTGCTGTTAAAAAACATACTGGAATATAAATGCAAAAATTCCCTGTGCACACAAAAGAGCTAGCACCATCATCTCTTTTACAACCCACTTTTATCGAACGGCCTTTCATAATAATTGTCTGTTTTAAACTCTACATGTATTTTACTGTTCTACATTGCCTTTGTTTTGTTTTTCTGGTTGTCTGTCTGCTTTATTCTTCTGTATTTCTTTTTGATATCTTATGTTATTATTACTATTTTATTTCTCTGTTTTTATTGCTTATCCTGACTCTGCGGTGATGTTTTTGAAAAGTGCAGCATAACTAAAGATGTATTTTATTATCATTAACATTGGAAAAGAAGTTGTATAAGCATTGAATATTGAGTCCCAAGTATATTGCTCCTAACTACTGATCTTTTGGCCATACTGTGGAATACTCCAGTAAAAATAACCTTCAAAAACAATATGTATAATTGTGAACTTTGAAACTTAAAAATGATCTTAATCAGAATCAGAATAATTTTTATTGCCACGTAAGTAACAGGAAGTCACAGACTTGGAAATTGCTTTGGCTCAGTGCAACAGTCAGAAAGAGATAATAAAAATAAAGAATAAAAAACACTTCTAAGGAATACAATTAAATTTAAAATAGAGTTACAGTTACTATTTACAATATACAAGTGCACATGGTGCACACAATGTAAGGTGACAGCAGTACAGTGAAGTAAAGTGACGTATGATGGGCAGTAAAGTGACTTTATAAAGGGCGGGGGGACAGGTTAAGAAGTGTTCAAGAGTCCAACAGCAGAGGGGAAGAAACTGTTCTTGTGGCGGGAGGTTCTAGTCCTGATGGACCGCAGCCTCCTGCCTGAGGGGAGTGGATGGAATAGTCTATGTGCAGGGTGAGAGGGGTCGGCTGTGATACGACCAGCCCGGCCTCGAGCTCGGGCGACGTACAGGTCCTGCAGCGATGGAAGGCTGCGGCCGATCACTTCCTCTGCAGAGCGCACAATGCGCTGTAGTCTCTGTTTGTCCCTGACTGTGGCTCCAGCGAACCACACGGTGACGGAGGAGGTGAGGATGGACTCGATGATGGCCGTGTAGAACTGCACCAACATCTGTGCAGGCAGCTTGGCTTTCCTGAGCTGCCGCAGGAAGTACATCCTCTGCTGGGCCTTCTTGATGAGGGAGCTGATGGTCGGCTCCCACTTGAGGTCCTGGGTGATGGTGGTGCCCAGGAAACGGAAGGACTCCACAGAGGTGATGGGGGAGTCCATCACGGAGGGTGGGGGCGGGGGGACAGTGCTCTTCCTGAAGTCCACAATCATCTCCACTGTCTTCTGGGCGTTCAGCTCCAGGTTGTTACCACTGCACCAGGACACCAGCCGGTCCACCTCCCTCCTGTAGGCGGACTCCTCGTTGTTGGAGATGAGTCCAATGAGGGTGGTGTCGTCCGCGAACTTGATCAGCTTCACGGAGTCGTGGCTGGAGGTGCAGTGGTTGGTGTACAGGGAGAAGAGCAGGGGAGAAAGAACACAGCCCTGTGGGGCTCCTGTATTTATAATCCGAGAGTCCGAGACATTCTTCCCCAGACGCACTCGCTGCTTCCTGTCCGTCAGGAAGTCAGTGATCCACCTGTAGGTGGAATCGGGCACGTTGAGCTGGGAGAGCTTGTCCTGGAGCAGGGATGGCAGGATCGTGTTGAAGGCAGAGCTGAAGTCCACGAACAGGACCCTGGCGTAGGTCCCCGGGGAGTCCAGGTTCTGTAGGATGTGGTGGAGGGCCAGGTTAATGGCGTCGTCTACAGATCTGTTGGCTCTGTAGGTGAACTGCAGGGGGTCCAGGAGGGGGAGGTGAAGGACTTAATTTGTTCTATCCAGTCTATTTTCTTAGCTCTTGAACTCTCATCTCTGAAGCAAATTGCCTCCGTTCTGTTCCGTAATATTCCGTAATATTTAGTCCATTAAGTTTCTTAATTCTACTTTTATACAAACAATGCTTATTCATTTGAGATCAAAGCTGCTAACTTTCTAAATTGGTCAATCTTGGTAGGTAAACAGAATATTGTGCTTAATCATGCTGCAATTTGGAGCTGGTACTATTCAGGGAAGCTCATATTTTTCCAGCTGGAGTATTTTCCAGGCTATTATGGCCGATTACGTTTCTTTATATTGATTATGGAGATGTAATCTTCTGAAAAGCAGGGCCAGACAAACACGAGTAAGTTGAACCATATGAGTCAGAGAATGATAAATGAATGTTCTGGATCTTTGGATCTATGTGGACTTTTCATAACCCGCTCTCCCGCCGACTTCTGCCTGTAATAGAATCTTTGCATGTATATGATTGTTTTGGGAGTGCCCATTTGCATCGCGCTTGTTGGCTTTTGCAAATGAGTTTCACCCACAGACTGCTCTTAATCTAAAGTGTTACAGAATCAAACCAAACAGATCATCATAAATGTTTTTATGTATTTATTTATTCAAGAGGTTGTTCACTGTAGAAAACTGGGCAAGACACAATCAATA